CTTCTACTCAAGATGGAACCACCCAAAAAATCATCTCAGGCTGCTTTGTTCATGATCTTATCAGAGCCCAGAGGGTATGTCCCAAAAAAGTCTGTTTGTGCCTGGAAATGGGGGCCTGAGCTCACCTGGGCCTAGAGAATGGGGGGCTCCCTATCTAGCCCTGAGTGGTGGAATCCTGTATCAACTGCACCCAGCTTTTTTTTTTTTTTAAGAAAAAAAAAACTTACTCTTTCACCTAGGCTGGGTGCAGTCATAGCTCACAGCAGCCTCAAACTCCTGGACTTGAGCGATCCTTCTGCCTCAGCCTCCCAAGTAGCAAGGACTACAAGAGTGTGCCACACTCTTACCTAATATTGCTTTTTTTTTTTTTTGAGACGGAGCCTCAAGCTATCCCCCTGGGTAGAGTGCCATGGCATCACACTCACAGCAACCTCCAACTTCTGGGCTCAAGCGAGTCTCCTGCCTCAGCCTCCCAAGTAGCTGGGACTACAGGTGCCCGCCAGAACGCCTGGCCATTTTTTGGTTGCAGCCATCATTGTTGTTTGGCGGGCCCGGGCTGGGGATTCGAACCCGCCACCTTAGGTGTATGTGGCTGGCGCCTTAGCTGCTTGAGCCACAGGCGCCGAGCCTACCTAATATTGTTTTGAGATTGTTTCCTATCAGCATATAAAGATCTCTCTCTCCCATTCTTTTGAAGGCCTGAAGAGTATTTCACATTGGATGCACCATGTTTATAGCCAGTTCTCCTTTAACAGACATTTAGATTGTATTCTATATTATTTGGTAGTATGTAATAAGTACCCATATGGGGCAGTGCCTGTGGCTCAGTGGGTAGGGCGCCAGCCCCACATACCAAGGGTTGCAGGATTGAACCTGGCCCTGGCTAAACTGCAACAACAACAACAACAAAAAGCTGGGAGTTGTGGTGGGCACCTGTAGTCCCAGCTACTCAGGAGGCTGAGGCAAGAGAATCTCTAAGCCTAAGAGCTAGAGGTTGCTGTGAGCTGTGATGCCACAGCACTCTACTGAAGGCAACAAAGTGATACAAGTACCCATATCATCACACACAAGTGCAACTGCAACTAGAGGATGATATCAGAACTTGTTTGGGCAAGGGGTCAAAACTTGCCATTTTAGGCTCAGTGTCAGTAGCACACTGGTTACCACGCCAGCCACATACACCGAGGGTGGTGGGTTCGAACCTGGCCCAGGTCAGCTAAACAACTGCAACAAAAAAATAGCCAGGTGTCATGGACAGTGCCTGTAGTCCCAGCTACTTGGGAGGCTGAGGCAAGAGAATTGCCTAAGCCCAAGAGTTGGAGGTTGCTGTGAGCTGTGACGCTGCAGCACTCTACCAAGGTGATAAAGTGAGGCTCTGTCTCTACAAAAAAAAAATAATAGTAAAATAAAATATTTAGGATAGAAAGTTGCCATGATGGGTGCCTATAGTCCCAGCTACTAGGGAGGCTGAGGCAAGAGAATTGCTTAAACCCAAGAGTTTGAGGTTGCGGTGAGCTGTGACGCCACACTACTGAGGGCCACATAGTGAGACTCTGTCAAAAAACTAAAAACTTGCTATTTTAATAGTAACCTCCACCCTCAGTATATGGGGCCAGCACCCTACCCATTGAGCCACAGGCGCCACCTGGAGCTCTTTATATATTAAGGCAACAAATTCTTATTTCTGATTTGAAAAATTATTTCTAAGTTTGGCATTTACCTCTTAACTTTGCTTATGGTAGACTATTTTCCACTGTTGCTTTTATAATAAACCCCAAACTCCTTACTATAGCCAACATGGCCTGAAGTAATTCATTCTCTGCCTCCCGGAACTCAGTTCCCTCCACTCTCTGCCTTTACCATTCTGCTCCAGCCATTATGGACTGAAATGAGTGACAGTCTCTTCTGCAGGAGGACTTCTGCCTTTGCTATTCCCTCTGACTGAAACTCTCTTCCTTTTTTCCCTTCCTCATCTTCTCATTGAGATTCTATCACCTCGTCTGGAAAGGCTTCCCTGACCATCCCCCAGGACCCACATTTGTCTTGTTCGCCACAGCACTCAGCACTGTACGACATGGCTTATAATAGTCTCTCAGTAAATACTTGCTGAGTGAATAAATGAATAAGTGAATGTCAGGAGATGACACAGGCAGGTTGAGCTGTTAAAAAATTTTATTAAAATGTCCAAGAAGTACATTAATGTCCACAGTGTCAGATATCACAAACTCACAGAACACTGCAGCTCACAGCAAAAGCGGCAGAACCCAAAGCTGTTCACACACACACACTCGCATGCATGCCACATGTGTGGCACACATAAACACACACACATATTCCAAGGGAAAGATCAAAAGACAAGCTGCCCACTTTAGAAAAGACCATGGTCCCCTCCTATCATGGAGCTGGGGTAGGGGGTAGGGTAAGGGCTGAGGTGTCCAAGGAGAGGGAACATAAACCAAGACTCCCCCAGAGAAGTTTCATTCTCAATATCCCCTCATAAAGGAAAATTATTTGTGACATGGATGACTAAAGAAGATATGTTGTTATTATTTTAAACTAAGAAGAATTATCAAAGTAAAAAGTCAAACCTATATCCCTGGGTTTTCTCAACAATAACCATAGATGGATAATGTCTATTGCAGGGGAGACAAGGATTTAAGGGTCTATTGCAGGGGAGACAAGGGGAAGACAAGGATTTAAGGGTCCAGTTTGCACTACTCAGCCATTTCCTAAATTGTGTGTGTGTGTGAGAGACAGAGACAGAGAGCTTGTGCAATTGTGTTTCAATCTCTTCCTTGGAAGTCCATAGTAGCACAGCAGTGTTTGAAGTCAGACAGATAGAAGCAAATCCTTACTCCTGTCTTAGCTGTGACTTCAAGCCACTGTCTTTCCCTTACATCTGAACCTTAGTTTCATTGTGTAAAATGGGAAAATAACGGACTCTAAGTCACTGCATTGAGAAGATTCAAGGAGATTTTGTCTAAGCCCTTAGCATGGAAATGCTATGCTATAGCCATCAACTATGAATATTACTTCCCAGGAAGGATGTAGGCTCAGTTAACACATTTCCTTCTTTACTGAAGACCTAAGTGGACCGTGTACTTGCTTATCTTTCTTTTCTGCACAGGGTTATTCTCCACTGTAGAGTTTTTAACACTAATCTATAGATTTTACCCAGACTGGAGGGGTTGAGAGTGGATAACAGACACAGGCAGTTAGGCCCTGACCTCTGGCTTAGAAAAGCCTTTACAGGTTGCAGATTCAGAAGAGGAAGACAAGGTGAGTTCTTTTCCACTTAAAAAATTAAAAGCTGGCAGCACCTGTGGCTCAAAGGAGTAGGGCGCCAGCATGGCCCCATATGCTGGAGGTGGCAGGTTCAAACCCAGCCCCGGCCAAAAACTGCAAAAAAAAAAAAAAAC